CAATGATATGAATTTTTGAGTTACATATCTTACATATCACTTGCTTTCGAAAGTCATGCTAATGATATTGGTAAGATTTTTAAATACTTTTGTTCCTCATGAATCAGTATATTATACCGAAATCAATGGAACAATGATATGAATTTTTGAGTTACATATTTTGATACGTTTGTTTGAGAAATGTTCCGTTTTTAATATTACTATTAATTATTCTTTTATTCTTTTATTTTTGCAGTGTTCCCTCAGATTTCGTCAGACATTGCTGCGACTAAAAAAATGCTAGAGTCGTACTGGGGAAAATAGATTGTACGTATTCTACGGGAACGTATTTAAATTACATTTCGTCAACCTGTTCGTACGAACATAGTATTAATATATATAATAGACAACCAATTATTCAAACTTGAATTATTACTGTACATATTTCACACTTTTATACAACTACGTGTTCTTTAAGTTTTCTTGTTAATAAGTACATCTCATTAAAAAAAAAACGTGTTAGTACGACTAAGTTTTTCAGTTTGAAAATGAATATTACACTTAAATCAGCGGAAATTCTTCCTTAACAACGTAAATCATGAGTATGAAAAATAGACTGAACTTAATTAGTGCAACAGTTCACAACATTGAAATCTAATGATCACGGAAAGTGGAAGGTTGTTGTTTTCATGCGTAGTATTACAATGTATTAGTACAGTAAATTAACGGGTGAATAACTCGTGTTTTCCTGCCTGTTACGTCATTTCTACATCCATTATTTTTTTCTGAATTTTGATTTTGATTTACAAATAAAAGTAAAAAAAAATATATATATTTTGTTTTTAAACTTTTGCTTTCATGGTTCCTTTGCCAATTCATATAACGTATAACTTTACTTATTTCTTCGCATAATGTCCACCTTTTATGAATACCTTTTTCTTACTTGAGTATAATATTTCTTTGGTTGATTGTAGTGATCCAGATGTAACATCATGATCAGTAAATTTGACTTTAAGGTTTTGTCCAGAAATTTGGGTGATTAAATAGTATTAGTACTTCTAGCGAAGAATGGTGAGGATTATATGAGCGTGAAGTGCTGAAAAAAGTTTCAAGCAGTTAAACTGAAATAATCTTAAAATAACAGTATTTAAACCATTATAAAATAATGGATTGTATATTTTCTTTAATTTCAGATTTGGAGAGGAAGTATTAGCAACGCACCATTGTTCAATATCTTTTTTGTGGTCATTCAGTGTGTGTATTTTTTATTCTGTGTTCAAGGACACTTTTGCACAAGTAAGTCATTTATTAGCTGTTATTTACAAAGTTAGTTAGATGTTTATGAACGTAAGTATATATATATGGAAAAAAAGGGATATTAAAAAAATCTACGTTGTTTTCTTTTTCAATTTTCTTTTACTTTAACTTTGAAATACAGGTGGCACTTTTTTGAAGTTATGAAAAAAGTTTTATCAATTTTTTTCTCTCTAAATAATATAAAATAACAATGTTTTGTGGAATAATAGATTACTAAGATTTTTACATAAAATAACGACCGCGAATGTTAATAGTGGTTATGCTTACGTAGTTTAATAGTAATTGTACGTCAAGGAATATTTTGACACAACTTGAAAATCTTGGTATATGCTGCCCTCTATACTAACATTTGAAAAGACTAAATTTTAGTTTTCAATTTTTGGTTACCGCGATGAAACAAATGAATCTTCTTGAGTTAATGACATCAAATGTATCAAATTTAATGTGGACTCTTGACACTTTGTGCTCCGATGTTAAAGCAATAAGATTTGAAAATAATATTTTAACAACGTACAAACAAGTGAATTGATTATTAGTCTCTCCACTTAACTTCTTTGGGAGACAACGATTTAGGTTATGGACATTAAAGCTGTATGGGATTAACGTAAAAGCTGAGTTTTTGAAATATAATGCTGAGCTGTTTAAGGGAATTTAAAGTTATTCATGGCAGTAACATTATCTGACAGTCTACAATTAGTTTTTTGTAAAAGGGTTAAACATGAAAATCAAAATTGAAACTTAGATTTGCTAAAGCATGGAAGAGATTTTATTCTATTTATAAATCCGTTTAATAGAAACTAATATTTCAGTAGTTTTTACATTTGTACAAGGGACAAAATGAACCATGAATCTTCTATGTATTTTTTTAATTCTCAAAACAGAATATTTGCCCTCCCAGTGGCACAGCGGTATGTCTGCGGACTTACAACGCTAAAAACCGGGTTTCGATACCCGTGGTGGGCAGAGCACAGATAGCCCATTGTGTAGCTTTGTGCTTAACTACAAACTAAAACTAACTGCATTCTCAAAACTCTGTTTTCCCAGTGTGCATGAAAAACAAAAAGTCAAACAATCCTGAAAGCGGTCTACAAAATGCTATAAACTAGCATTTTATTTTGAATGTTCCATTTTATTTTCCATTTGCTCGGATAATTCTGGTGCAATTCTAAGTTTTGTCAATTGCAATATTAATTTTTCTCGTATTTACATACCATTTAAGACTGTATTTAATTCAACTGTTTTTGGAAATTTTACTCGGTTTAGTTTTCAACCAATACAATAAAAAACTTCTTGTATATAATAAATTTTCGTTTCACTTGTTTGAATTTTCAGCTACGTTTGTCTGCATAAGTTGAAAAGTTTATGGCGAAAATTTTAAAACATTTAGGAAGCTTTAAACTTGGAAACTAATTTTGTATCGAATCTTAGATTTTGAGGGATCCATTTTCATAAGAAGTTTCAGGTTTTCAGCGGATAAAACCACTTTAAGTAAAGACTCTAAGTTCATGAAAACATCTAGTTGTTAAATAAATCTATAATATAAAATGATTTTTAGCCAATATTAGGATTGCACAGTTAGGCCGTGATCTCATCTTGCAGGATTTTTTATTAAATTAATTGTATATCATTTTTCATTACTCTCTAAGTAGTTGCTTTTTCAACAAGATATGTGCTAAAATGTTTCAATTTTCATTATCAGTAGTTCGTAATTGATCACTTCATGTTTACATACTTACCGTATTTTTCGGAATATAAGACGCACCCTTATTTTGAAGACAAAGTTTTGGAGAAAAAAAAAAGCTACAGTCGCATTTGAAAGATTTTTATTGGACAAAAATTCAATTTGATACTTTAAAAATTAGTATATATTATTCTAAACACAAAAGAGCTCAAAATATCAAAATAAGAAAATACTGTAAATAAATGTCTGTGTCTATGAACACAGTTTCCCAGGTCACTAATGGACAACAAAGGACGTGAAAAGAGCGCGAGATAATGGTTTGTATTAAAAGTAAAATTCGTTTCAAAATTGTAATTTATTTT